CCATGCACCGAGTCCTTTCAGACACTGGTTCAGCCTCAGTCTTTTCACACATATCTGTAATTTGAAAGTAGAAAGATGTATATTAATTTCCTGGAACTTCCCTCACTTTGATCTTAATCAAAGGGTTTTTTTTAACTAACAAAAAATGCAAGTCCCCAGAACAAAGACATCCTATAATGTGACTGGATAAATACAGTCCACACAACATGAATAAAACCTGAAAGACTTTCAAAGGTCTGTACTGTATATAATGTATGTGCTTAGCTTATTTATGTATTAGGATTCTGCTTGAAGATGCTAACAGCCTCATGTAAAACAACGGGACTAACAAACTGATGCTGGAAAAAACTTAAATATTTAAGACGCACAGCAAAATTAAGTAAATTAAGAGTAAACCTAAAATAGACTTTATAAAATAAAAACATAAATCTTTAGTAAATGATAATATATAAAGGTAACAATCTTCACAAGGGAATGTGTTCAGGATTCTTGTTTTGCCCAACTCTTAATACCCAAAGACAACCTAATTAACTAACAATAAAGAGGAAGCAACCTTCTCATGTTTAAAAAGCTTTTTAAAGTTTATATTTATTTATAAATATCTCTATATTTATCTCTTATCTCTATATCTATATTTATGTTTTTTTACGCATTTTATTCTCATATCATTAAGAGTTCTTTCAATTAAGAATGATTTTGCAATCAACGCTGTGCTATCAACCTACAGCTTGGATTTCCTAATACATGGTTTCCCATGCAGCTCATTGTTACTCACTCCTCATATGAATTGGTCCACAGCACAGCAGCTAGACCGCTAACAAAAATCTGCAAAACCTGCCACTCCATATCAGCCTTGATCCCTGCTTCCCATCTCTGCTTCCAGTGAAATTCAGAATTCATATCAAAATTTTATTAGTGCACATGCCTTTTCATGGCCTTATCCCCGCTTATACAGGAGAACTGCCAAAAGCTTATTACAGCAGTCGCGCTTTCCGTTTATCAGATCAAGGTCTTTCAGCTGTTCCCCATTCTGCAACCACACTTTTTAGGTTGTAGCTCCTAAAATGTGGAACAGTCTTCCTCGGTGCATTAAGTCGGCTGAGTCTGTGGTTTCTTTCACATCTGCTGACATTTTTTATAGGTTTTGCTTTTTAACATTGTGTCCTTTTTTGTTTTAGTCTAGTCATACTGCCTTTGTGTGCAGGTATGTACAGTATGTTGGGCTAGGCAGACCCATTATGACGACTGCAACATTTGTGTCTGCTCCTCCTTAACTCCTCCTAGACAGGTAATCAATCTGGATTAAACTTATATTATATACATTGCCCAGGTTACCAGCACTGTCGACATCTAAATAGCTTTTTTAAAATTAATTTTATAATTTATATAATTTGAGCTTTTCAAATTATATAAATTTGACATTCACATATATATATTATGTGAATGGTGGCTTAAAACATTAGATCTACATTATACGTATATTGTGTACATTACGTGTACTCTGTTTCTAAACTCATGTTGATAAAGTACTTTTAGTACAGTGAAACTTTGGGGTCTGAGAATTGTGTTGTCATCTGTAAATAAGTGTGGAAAAAGTGGCGCTAATAATGCCTGTACCCTGATTACCAATGAATATGTAGCTTGGAAGAAGAAGAACAATAAATATATAAATCAATTATTTAGTTATTTTTTATTTATGCACAGCCATTTTTGCCACCTCATATACCTATATATAGTGATACAATGAACATAAAAAGAATAACATCGTAAATCAACATACATGTCCGTGTTTTAATACATGAGCGAAATGAGGAAACAGTGAAAGCTCATTGTTCTAATTTCCACATCCATATTTTTACTCTTGTCCTTTACTAAAATAGCTTTATATGGTTTAGAGTTCAAAATAATCCTTACGTGTCATGAATGGGTCTCAGTTTATCATCTGTCTTGAAAACAACTACTTTAAGCATCTTTTCTCTGATTGGTTGCCCCTCACAAGCTTAAATAGTAGGTGGGCGGGGCTTCCGTTTGCCTGAGAAGACCATTTTAAGCAGCGGTCCCCAACCGCTGTGGTCCCGTGGCCCATGGACCTGGGCCATATATCTGGCCCAGATATCGGGCTGCGAGAGTTGAGGCTCGGGTGTGAAATGTATGGTTTTCAGGGTTTTTATTGGTTTTTAGCATTTTTTTTTTTTTTTTTTTTTTTAGCATTTTTATCATTAACTCTGTTTCCCTGGGTCTTTTTCTGTGTGTTATGAATAAATCTTCTTTTTTTGGTACCGGTATTGGTTTTATTTTGTTTATTTATCCACAACACCTTAAAGGCCGGTCCGTGAAAATATAATCGGACATAAACCGGTCCGTGGCACAAAAAAGGTTGGTGACCGCTGATTTTAAGGACATCTCATCCCTCTAAAATTAGGACATCTGGACAATTGGAGCAGTTTGATGTCTGAGTTTTCAAATCATAGGGATTACTTACATATACATTGACCTTTTATAAAAGCTTCTTGTTTTATGCTTTGAATGTGTGGCTAATGCATTTTTTTGTGTGGGTGTGGGTGGGGTATTGGCAGTTTCTGGTATAACTCAGAATGCAGGCTCTGAGCTTAAATTTGTGAAGAAATGCATTTCTTCTGTGTGCTCAGTTTGGTGGAACTTTAAAAAGCATGTCTGAAGGTTTCTGTCTTTATATCATGATTAGAAACTGATGATCACCAGACTAAGGCAGACTCAAACATGGTGGGGGGAAGCATTTTCAGTATGTTACACATATATAATTTTAGCTGCTTAAATTACTAGCAAAGAGAATTCTGAAATGAAAATATGTAAACGCACACAAACACATGGCTGTGTGCATACATCTATGTCCGCAATATTCACAAAAATAAAATCCCAGTGCTTTTCCTACCAAATATTTTCCAGCCTTATTATTTTTATCCTCTTTGTTCTTGTGTTTACACAGCCCCACTAAAGATAATACATCTTTTCCTCCCCGTCTGCCCCTCCTCCTCCTCCTCTTATTACCCTCCCTCTTCTGCATCTTCCCATCTCCCTCTTTCCGTCTTCATCTGGATACCTTTCTTTGCTTCCTCCTCCTTGGCTTTTCTTCATTCCCATCATCCTCTTCTGTTTTCTCTCCCTCAGCTCCTTCCCTCTTCTCATGCAGCATTCCTCACATTCTTGTTGGCTTCATAAGGGGAAGGACCCCGCTGGCAGACCAAGGCCAAACATTATTACAGTGCTCCCAGCCTCTCTCTCTGTCGCTCTCTCCGTTTCTCTCATCCTATCTGTCTTATTTTTTTCCCCTCGCTTATCTCCTAAACCACACTGCTCAGGTCCTCTTATCCTCTTCCTGACTTTCCTTTAACTTTTTAATCCCTTCCCTTCAACATTCACTCCTTTATTCATTTTCTCTTAAGCCTCCACTAATTCCATTTTACTGATAGTATCTGTAAGCTCGGACTTTAACTATGTTAAACCAGTTTACTGAGACTGCTGTCTCTCATAATTAGTGGAAATAAGGGTCATACCATTCCCTCTTACGCACAACAGACTCATTTGTGTTTATACCAGAGCATGTGCTGTTTTTTAACGACACACTGTCTGCACATGGTAGATCAAGTATCAGACACAGATGCTCACAGCAAAGGCTCCCCCAAGTTACCCAACGCACACATACACACAGACAGACAACCACTTTACCTGTAAAGTAGATGACATTTAAAGCATCCTAAATGAATTTAATCAGTTGCCTTTTATTTTGTGAGGACTCCAGTTTAGTTTTGCACATTCTTTATTTTTTTATTGTTGTTTTTGTGAAGAATCACTTCTTGTGTCAAATGTTGTTGCTTTAGCAGTAGCACATCCCTGCAGGTGGGAGGCAACTTTGTAGCACACATTTGACCACATCCTGCCCCATATACTAAACTGACAAAAAAAAAGAGCCGTACGTCAAACTTTTCTATGTCATTTCAAATTAATTTACATCTTAAAGGATGACTGATCATGTTTCTAAAAAAAAAAAAAACCTGATGTGCATTGCATCATTTTTCTGCACTGTCTTCATAGCTGTGTTATCCCCTGTTGTATCTTAAGAAGATAACATGGATTATTTGATTTCTTACAAAAGCGTTAATACATGCAATGAGTTTTACAAAAATGTGAAATCATTTTGATTTGAAAATCTCAGGAATCAAAGCATAGCACACTGAAATAGACGCCAGTTCCTATTATTGTTTGTGAAAAATACCAAGTGACCAATGCTGGACAGAGTGTGTATGCATATGTATCTATTCCTCTCTCCCTGTGGGCGGTTGCCTGCTGCGCTGCTTTTCTGTCACCCTGTGGTTTGGTTATTTTCAGCTCGAAACCGGATGTGATTCAGACTGCATGCTAGATTGTGTAATTGAATGGACTAACCACATATACACACACACACTTTTTGAACGCGCACAATCGCATAAACGATGCAAACACAAACACACAGGACACAACCCTCTCTCACACACACCGTTATATCGTTAGATACACCCACACACTGAGGGTTTCTGGGAACAGTGCTGGGTTCCCCCCGTTCAAAGAGCCACCCGAGGGTGAGCGAGCGGACGATGAAGCACCACCAGCAGCAGACAGAGCGCTCGTTTCTTGGTTTCAATATTGGTCTTAAACATCAGTTGTTGACCTGGCTTACGCTGAGATCGGAAAAAAGGATAAAACGCTTGCACACGCTCGTGCTCTGTGGAAACAAAAAGGACGGTTAAAAGTGGGGAAAAACATTGTGAAGTGCTTGTGAAACTTATTATAAATGTCAGTTTCTGACTCAAAAAAAAAAAAAATTTAAACGGTACTCTACAGATGGTGCTGAATTAAGAAGAGTGAGAAAAACAGGGAGTAGATAGCGTCTCCAAGCACCTCCGCCATGCATGAAGACATTCCCTGCGGCCTTATTTAAAAATAAATAAATAAATAATTCAAACTAATTTCTAGCAGTTTGGTGTATTAGTTTATGTTTAAAAATGTCTTCGAAATGTGAATGTTTGAAAGGAAGTTCTGGGAGGAAGTTTGTTTTGCAGGTACAAACAGAGGTTTGATTTTTATGGTGCTACCCTGGAGAAATTACAGATTTGCAAATTATTGTAGAAAAGGGCCAGAGAGGTTTACTGAATCATGCAGACCACAGTGGAGTGGTTGTGACGCGAGGATGTGTGCGATTCACTGTCAGTGGCCTCTACCAGAAAACTGCCTCTTGATTCTAGGAAGACTTTGGGCTATAAGATTTGACAAGGCAATGTTCCTGCGTCACGCAGGCTTCCACAGCAGCGTGTTGTACTGCAAGTGTGTGCGCTTGAAAACTGACAGGATGCTCTACTTCCTTGGTGGTCTGAAAATGTCAAGAAAAAAATGTGTATCTGCACATCTGAACATTGCACAGAACTTAGTGTCTTTAATCTCTGAAAAAAAAAAAGTAGTCTGCATTACCGCAGGAGAGAATTACAAACATTCAGTCCTTCGTTATTATGAGGGAAAATAAAGATAGCTAGACATCGAGAGCATCTATTTGGATAGTTTTACCCTGATTTTAACTGTTTCAACTGTAAAAGTCTATTATGACTCAACTTTGTTAAGGATTATGTCAGCCTGCTTTATTTACTGCCACATCCCTTGTTTAACCGTAACTGCTCTTAATTACCCCAGTTTTCTTTTGATATTAGCAGTATCTGCTGTATCAAGGCAAGGTGTGCACCGATTACAGTGGAGTTATTTTTACTGTTATGCCTGTAATACTTAAAAGTTCATCAAAAACAGCTGACAAATGATGACTGAAAGCAAAGTTCTTCGTGAAAATTAAGCATTTTAAAGAGAGGATTATGGATAAAGTATTTTCCCATAAATAGCAGGACTGATCACGTCAAGCCACCAGCAACCATGATCTCTCTTTCTGCACAACATACTTGAAAGCACAATAGGAAGCTTGTTCACACTTAATACTCAATTAGCGTGAACAAGCTATTGAAAAACTACACAAAATGTCCATGTTTCTACATGACTGCATTTTCTTTCATAACAGACTTCCTGCTTGCTCTACCACACGAGTGAATCGGGTGCAGTTTTAAACACACAGATTTACATTCTTCACGTACAGGAGCAAGTAAAGTCATTTGTATTTGTAGAATCGAGACTACAGTATATGGCATTGGTAATTTGGCACATAGAAACTATCTGAGACATTTTTTATGAGGGCCCCTTTAAACAGCCTTACTTTGTTTTTCCTGCTGTTCTTTGGGACAGCAATGAATGTTATTCAGCTTCAGCTCCAACTGCAGATTAATTTCCAAAGATTAATGTAAAGTTATTGCCTGCGCTCCCACAGTTCAGTTTTGTTAGGAAATATCTCTAATATTTACCTTTGTGATTCTATATAATACTGTGATAGTGGTCTATATAAGTTATTTAGGAAAAAAATCTGAAATAGCTTCATAACTGAGCACTGCAGGCAGGAAATCAGAATTACAAAGGAAACCAAACCAGGTTCAAAAATTGTTTTTGTTTCCTGAGAAAATACTTGCAGCTTTTATGGTTTTGTGCAGAAACTCACACAGACTCGAGTTTTAATGTGCACCCAAACAAGCTAATTTGTTCGGTGCTATAATGGTTTTCATTGCACATTAGCTCAGTGGTGTATGACTGTAATCAGAGATTTTCTTGTCCTCACCTACACCACAGACAGACAACAAAGTTAATGGAGTGGGGGGTATGAGGCGTTTGAAAACGCTATTCAACAGTATGTAATTTACTGTAAGTACAAGCTCAGGAATCAATATGCAGGACAACTATTTATATTCACTGTACTATAAATAAAATGAGCGCTAAGAAAGGTATTGCACAGCAGATCTGTGCAAGTCAGTGCTGTAGTGATGGAAGTTCCATTTTGACCAATATCTGTCTCATCTTGGAGGGTCACATGTTGCCGTATCCTGACATGAATAACACTGTGTGGGTTGTTTGTTGTTTTGGAAACATTTAAGCATTTATGACAAATAGTAAATGTTCGCACATACAGCCTAATTTTGTTTTGGTTTTTTTTCTGGGGGCCTCCAAAAGAACCCTGGAGATCCCAGAGCCGAGTCACTCTGCTTGCTGCTGGAAGTTCTTGACAGCAGATGGAGCCACAGAGAGGGAGCTATTATTTTATGTGACACAAAATCCCCATCTTATTTGTAAGAAAAAGTAAGAAAAAAAAGAAAAAAAGAAAAGAAAAAGAAATAAAGTTAAGAACGCCATACAAGTTACGAGCAGTCAAACGCGGAGCGTGCACTTAAAGGGAGTGAGTCGGTGCGGGAAAACAATAGTCAAGAAGGTCCTATGTGAAGTCAAGGCTATTTTTGGTGGGGCCCGCCTCGCCTGCTATTTCTGTCAGCAGGAGAGCGAAGGGGAGGGAGCAGGGCTTCGAGGGGGCCGGACTTACTTCTCTGTAACTTGCCTCCGATAAGTTCCTGTTTCGGCTCCTCAGTCAGTACAGGCTTCACTGACAATACCAGCGGACCTCTCCATCTCGCTTCCATCACGTTCCGTCAGCTTTTTGGCTCTTTTTACTTGTTCAACGTTTCAAAAACAGACTCCGATACAAGTTGGATTATTTTCAAGTGTGACTGGACTCTTTGAAGGGGCGGTTAGGTGTAAACGGGCCCCAGTTTACAAGGTAGGCAAGCGCTGGTGGTGACACGGTCCGAGCAGCTGAAAGTTTGATAAATGTTCTTAAATTTCGGGCCGTTTTGAGTCGGGCTTTCGACTCGTCGGGCAGGTGCAGTATGGCGTTAAGCTACGTGCGCAGGTGCACTCTTTTAATTGCTCGCGAGCGCTTGGAAAAGTGTCACGCGCGCGCATCTTTGACGAAAACTAAAAAGAAAAAAAAATTGGTACTTTTCTCGAGCTTTAATTTATTTCATTAGTCTTTTGTACATATATGTTACATAAAGTCACCATCAACTCCAACAGTCGTTTTAAAACATGATTTGCATTACAGCTCAAGTCATTATGAAGCAAGAAAGTGACTTTAAAGCAAAGTGCCGTTGACAAGCTGTAAATCACGTAAATAATGTCTAGCTTCCTAAACAGAGTAAGGAGTGTTTTGTTGAAACTGCCGGAGGTGTGTTAACCACAAACCTACGTTTCTTATCAGTCATTTCTTAAGATAAGATTCAAATATTATTTACTTTTGGCCCCAGTGAGGTTGAGCAGATGTCGGCCAGCATCACAGTTTAGCAGCAGCACCTCCGCAACCCAGTTTAAAGTGCAGGTGCACTGTTCGCGTACTTTTCTACGACTGGGATTATCGCGCGCGTGTGTGTGTGAGAGAGAGAGTGTGTGTGCGCGCGCGTGCTTGCGTGGTACAGCCCAGACCACCACACACTTTTCTCATCTTTTCTATCCACATGTGGGTCAAAATAGTGCACTAGAGCTGTGGTTGATACATCACATGAGCAGCTCACATTGTGCCAAGTGCCAGCACATGGCAGTGGTGAAATCTATTAATACACACCTGCAAGAAACGTTGTCACCTCTCTCTTTAAGGCTGGTATTAAAACTGCTTTGTTTATTGTGACATTTTTAGGAAAGGTTCAGAGGTGAAAGCTGCCAGTTATCAACTGTGTTTGCTTTTTTTTTTGTTGTTGTTGTTGTTGTTTTGTTCATTGTTGTTAGATATTGTGAATATGAGCTCCAGTTCAGTGATATACTTTTGTCTTTGTCCCCACAGATGGAATCGGCACCTCTGGGAACATCGTAAAGACTGACAGACAGGACAGCGTACTTCCCACAGTGGCAGGTTAGACCTTAAACCTCTGCTGAAAATGTTCAGAATGCAGTTCTGATTTAATAAGTAGTTGGGTTTTTTGGTAATATTTTACTTGAACCTCTTAAAGTTAGGCAAAAGCCATTAGCGCTGAAACGCTCTTGTGGAAAAAGATGCTGCCGCTCTCCAGGCAGTCCCTGCTCACGACTACATCTTGTTTTCTTTACATCATTTTCTTTTTAACATGTACACACACACACACACACACACACACACACACACACACACAGTGTATGCAATTTGGGTGACAGCACTTTTTCCACAATGATCTAAGCTGCAGTAAAAGTAGAGAACAGGTGCTGGCCTAGTTGGAAAGACGCAGCCTCCTCGGCTGTGTTTTTCATGTGGGTTTAGAAGTTAGTTTTGCTGCAGGTCATGCAGAAGTTTAATTGAACATGCGTCACGCAGTCCTACAAAAATGTGTGAATGTAAATTTACCACATGAGCTATTTATTGTTTAGTAAACGTCCAATAGCATCCGGTTTTAGTTAGTTTCCTACTAAAACAAAAGACTTAGTTCTGTGTTCGAATTAATATTAGGAAATCACTGGTACCAGTGTATAGTACAGTAGAGGGATTCACTTCACTTTTTTATATTTTCACTTCCAGGATTGTGTAAGATTCATCAGTAAGGATTCTGACGGTCATTCTTCTTGGCACAAAAGCTTCTCACATAAACATCTGGAGATATCAAAACATATTTCCTCCTAATTATGGCTGATTGCAACTATTTCTTTCACAATGTGGTCATGGTTAGATAATGAAAATGTTCGCTCTGACTACTAGTGTGATGCAGGACGTGAACTTAGGTTAACCCTTTAGCACTCATTTCAAGATGCCACCATCTTACCAGTAAAATAAGAGCTGGCTTGTTACTTTTCTTTGTAATCGTGTCAAATTTTCAACAATTTTCAGCAACCCTTCCTGTCATGTATTCATCTGTTGTGCCTCTCTTTAACAAAAAGCCTAGTTGATGCTTTTGTTCTTAAACCTGAGCTCAAAAAGAATTTGATCTGCTGCTCAAAGCATCAGAAACAAGTGACCCAGGCTGGCACTTTTAGTCCTGCATTTTTAGTTTAGATTAGCATTCCCTGCTGTGAAGCATGCCTGTGTGATCACGCTGTGTAGGATTACAATGCATGACTCTCTGAATGAAAGCCGGCTCTCGCTGTGCCAGGCTCTGCTGACTGCATGCTAACCAAGGACCCACTATGGGCTTTGTGTGTCTGCGTGCATGTCTCTGGAAAAAAACAAAAACAAAAAAAACCCCATTGAGGTCATGGCCGTAACTGCAGAGTCTGGTTACATGCGTGTTGTCCACACAGGGCAACTGGCACTGGCTCTCTATCCTTTGTCTTCCTCTCTCTAATTTCTCCATCTCAAACATGCACACCTCGCTTTAAATCATTTGGCCTGTGGAGTGCATTGCCCTTACGCCAGACGTCTGAAGTCGGAGATTGGTTAGCGATCTAAGGTGGCGGCGGTCTGCGCCAGATGTGCATAACATGTGAAACCACCATTTTAAAAGCCTCTGGAGCTCAAACAGCCCTTTAAACTACACAGAGTGCTATAATAGACCTGCAGGGTTACGTCCCACTTGTCCTGCTGTGTCTGTAATAGCCTTGAACCCTAATTTTCCACATACGTGAAACAGAAAACACGCAGAAGTGCTGTTCACTTAAAGAATAGCTTGTAATACTTGGCTCCTGTAGCAGTTACCAGAAGTGAGAGCATACAGGTATAATGATGATTTCGGACAAGTTTCACAATGGCTTTCAAAAGCTATGTGTATTAATAAAAAGACCTTCACCTCATATTCAACTTCTTCCTCCAGCAGCCTTTTCCTCTACACGCCCTAGAAATGAAAAAAGACACAACTCTTAATCCTGCAAACAGAGATATTTCAAAATAGTTCAGTTTTTTTGTTTTTTTTGTTTTGTTTTTTTTGATTGACCATAGTAATGTTATTTTTCAATAATTGTTTTCCTAATAAGGAGTGAAAAAAACTGCCTTTTTCAGGGCTGTCAGTGAAATCAACAAAAATTCCTTACAAATTTCTTCATAGAAAATATGACTTATTGCAGTTTGCATGTGTACTCTGCTCATTTTCTCAGGCCTTTACTCTATGGATCGCTAAATGGAGTAACTCCAACAGTCATGCAGTGGAGATCACATATCCTAGTTGTGGTTTCCAGCCACATTGGTCAGCTGATCTGGGCACTGTGTTTCTTTTAGTTACCGGTTCCTGTTGAATTAAAGACTCAACTGGAGGAAAGTTGATAAGCAACAATCAATCAATCATTACCTCTAATGCTGGTAATCGTTCTCACTTATTTGTATATCTAAGTAACATGATTCCTATTGAAACATTTAATCAGCAGGTTTAGCCTTTTATTGAGTTGATATATCACTCGAAGACTGTAATGTTGCAGCTGCTAGACTGTTTATTAAGAGCTTAATTGTGCTCCTTCTTGAATTTCCAGTTTGCGCTTTGGCACCCAAATAGCATTAGGTCATTCATCCTCTGCAGCTGCAAATTCAAAAACGTACTGACATTTTGTACTAATGAACAACATATACATTAAGGTGATTTTGAACTCTAATACCCGTTAAAGCCAAATGGGAGTGCAGACACAAGCTGTTCAGTAGTCGAGGTAGTAATGGTTGTAACAGTAGACGGCGTTGGAGGTTTGGCGGCTATTTTTGACCTGCTGAACAAATGGCTCAATTGTCCTGCCTCGAGGTGCATGAAATCACTTGATATGTCAGGGGTAATGTTATATAATACTCTCCAAGGGGGCTCACAGGACTGTGTTTGTGTGTGGTGCAGTTGTCTACTTTTTATTTCATTTTAGAGCGTGTGTGTGTGAGTTTTTCTGTGTCTATGTGACAGGCTGCACATATTTAAAGTATTTTCTTGCAAGGGGACTGAGAGACTGTAAGAGTGTGCGCTGTGGCTTGAGGTAAGAGTGTCCTCAACATTTTATTACTGTGTCAAATCAATTCACGTTGCATTAACCTTTGAGCTAAAATCTTTTTGCTGTGGTCTGCTGGGTAACTGGTCTCTTATTGGCCTCCAGCCTCACTCTGATACCTCCCCCTCCCATTTCTCTCTCACTTCCATGCACACAGCCGTGTACATGCCGAGGCACGTAATTCGGATTAAATTTACTGAAGTCAATGGAATTCTTTCTTCTAAGGATTTATTCCTGTGGCATTCAGGGTATAAAAAAACGCACAAAAAAATCCCGAAACACTCAATTTTCACCTCAGTTACAGCAACTGTGCCAGACGAGAAGCCCTGGATCTAAATCTGTTTCTCAGTTCCAAACTTTAAGGAAGCTGGGGTTGTTCCCGTTTCCCACTATTGGTGAGAAACAAATACACGGAAAGTAAGATGTCCTAGCTTTAATTAGTATCCTCTTCTTTTTTTTGTTTTATCTTTCCCTCACCACCAGTGGCTGGGTTTTGCTGGAGATTTCTTCCTGGCAAAAGGGAGTTTTTTCTTCCCACTGTTGCCTAGTGATTGTTTCTAGGGGATCATCTGATTGTTGGTGTTTTCTCCAGCTACTGTAGGCTCTTCACCTTGCAGTATAAAGCACCTTGAGGTGACTGTTGTTATGATTTGGTTCTATATACATGAACTTTCATTGAAATAAACTTGAATAAAAGGACACATTTTACTATTTGTGTACCATTTATTTTAAAGCTAATTTGCTTTTGTTTATACAATTAATACTTAAGTCACCGATCCTAAAATATTCAGGATCAGTGACCTTGTCTTTGTTCTTTTTTTTCTTTGAAATGGTTAGTTGCTGACTAAACATTACATATGTAGAAATAAAAATCAAGAACATTCATGTAACAGCCCTGAACAAAAAATAAATTTAGATGTTAACTGAAGCATTAAAGTTCCTTGCAGATACAGGTCCATCATTAATGCTAATCATCTTGCTCATAGATAATAAGTTAGCCTGATTCCTGATACTGTAGAAGCCACATATCAGTCACAAGTTCTCCGAACCAGATGATGCCGTCTGACCTAAACAGCTCAACCAAGTCATGATTCAGCTCACACCGACTGATGCTGACCTCGGATCAGATGGCTTGTTGTAGGTGCGGATGTAATAGGATCTGACCGGACTCCTGACTTTACATGTGACTCCACGTGTGTGTGTGTGTGTGTGTGTCTTGATTATCTTCAGTGACGTTTACAGCTTCAGGCTGATTTCTTTGTAATTGAATAGGAGAACCACACGATACAGGTTTATACAATGCCCATCTGTGGTCAGTGTGTCTGTCTGGGTGTGTGTTTCAGTATATGTAAGACAAGTTTCTGTGAGACACCCCTTTTCACCGAGGATGATGAAAACAAATAGTACTGCAACAGAGGTGAGAAGAGCTGCTGTGTAGTTTGAAATCTCCAGTAAACTAAAACCCGAAACGTACAGGAGTTTTGGGCCCGAGGCAGATGCCTATTTTTAGAGAGTAAAACATTCCGATATTGAAGGGTAAAGTGAGGTTGTGCTGGAATTGCATTGAAAGGGGAAAACAATGGTGTTGCTGTTTGTTGACTTTCCCGAAATGTATTTCCCGAACTAGTTAGCAACTTAGGGCAAAGATGCCACTTGACTCCATACCACCATTTGCTCAGCTGTGATGTTTGCAGCTACATGTCCTGCAGGAAGTGCTGAGAGCCAGAGCTGCTCTGTGGCAAAAAGTATGGGATGGCACCAAACATAGGTTTCTGCATTATGTAGTGACGTTTTTATATTGCACACCATAGACGTTACTGCTGTTATGTCTGTCATACCATCCAACAGCCAAAGAGGCAGGCGTCACATGTTACCAATCTCACAAAAATGAGTACAAAATCATCTACAAGTATTAGCTTTTTTTTTTTTTTTTTTTTTTTGTCCAATGGGCAGAACAAACATCTCAGTTTATTTAAGGAAATCAAATGAAACCAGAAA